CTCCGCTGCCCTCTCTCCCTCCTTTGCCCTCTCTCCCTCTCTTCGCACCATCAGCCTGACCCCTGATACAAGTGACTTTTCTCCCCCTCCGGGTTTTTCTGTTGTGGATATTAACCACGTTTCATTTTAAAGCAGGTATTATTTATTTGTAGCCTCCAAACACCTTTAGTTTTAGCAAACAACAGCAGGACACGCTTTGTCGCTGCGCATGATGTGAGCTGTGTTACGTGATGATTTTGATTGACGCTGCAATGACTGGGACAAAATTACTAACGTTATTAAAATATATTATAGTCTCCAAACACAATTTAACAAGTAGTCCTTTTGAATCAAATCAAATGCTAAATAAATATTTAAGGGCTTTATATTTGCTCAAAAAAAAAAATCTTTTTTTTTTGTTTGTGTGGAAATCATCTTGCGACCCCCCCAGGGGTTCCCGCGACCCCCCGGGGGGTCGGGACCCCCACTTTGGGAACCACTGCTGTAGGCTAGCCCTTTCTAGCCATTGGTAGGACTTCTGATGGGCTCTCCTCCAGCACCTCCTCATCTCGCCACTGCCTGAGACATTCACTGTCATCCGTTTTGGCCTTCTCCATGATGTAGTTATGGAGTTTGGATGTTTCGTCCTGGACAGTGGCTCTCACACTCACTAGTCCTCGGCCTCCATTGTATATATATATATATATATATATATATATATATATATATATATATATATATTTTTTTTTTTTTTTTTGAATATTGTCTTCACCTCTAGACACTTTTAAAAGAAAATAATTTCAAGCTACAGTCTTTGTGGAATGTTCATACAATATTGATAAGAATAACCATCTCCTGGAAATGTATAACACTTGTATCCTTCAGATGAAAATGCGGGAGGTGGGGGGACCTGGACCAGTTTGAATGAAAAAGTTGTCCAAAAAATTTTTCAAAGGTTGAGAAAGATTTTACATGGGGACCGCCTAGAGCTTTTTGGGTTATTACGCGTTCCTAAATTTAATTTCCAGTGACATTTGCCTTAACTGTGAAAGGGGAATCGTTTAAACCCAAAATGTGGTAATTCTACTGTCAAATAGATCCCACATGTATCCCCAGACACCAGCATTAGATTTACCATTAACATTTTAGGTGCTTTCTCTGTGCATTTATTGTTCCCAGCTACTGTTAAAGATGCTATACCCATTTTTTTTCTTTTTTATGAGTTCATAAAAATGCTTATTACTACATACAAGATGTATCATAAGCCGTATTTTAATTGAAAACTTGAGCTCATTGATTCAGCTTGTGTATGAACCGGCCGTAAAAAGTGCTGAGTAGAGACTCAGCGTGACGCTCGCTCTTCTCCACTCACAGAATGAGGCTGTGTTATGGCGCCAGATTTACGCCAAAAGTCCACACGCGCAAATAATACACACACGCTTAGCTTTATTTAATTCACACGCGCGCAAACCACTCTCCACGCGCATATTTCACCCCACACACGCGCAGATTCAGTACCACGAGCAACAATACGTGCGTGTGTGCGTTCGTGACATGCCTTCTCCCTGCTCGTGGTCTGTGTTCTGCGCGCGTTGAAAACTTTTGCCATCTCTTCTACGCGTTTGACCAGGACTCACTTTACTATAAGTATAGTATTTCTACAGTATCCTCCATGATGATCCATGATTACTGAACAGGCACGTTAATGTTTATAATGTCATTGTAGCCTTAGTATGTATAAACATATGAATAAAGGACGTAGCCTACATTGTAATATGTTTATATATCAAATAAATATAAAATGCTCACCAAGTATTTGTCTTCTGAACCAAATCTTCTAATCGCGGAAATTCCTGGAAAGCAGTGGCCCCGCCCCCAAGCGACAAAAGTATATTTCACGCGCGCGTAGAAGAGATGGCAAAAGTTTTCAAGGCGCGCAGAACACAGACCACGAGCAGGGAGAAGGCATGTCACGAACGCACGTATTGTTGCTCGTGGTACTGAATCTGCGCGTGTGTGGGGTGAAATATGCGCGTGGAGAGTGGTTTGCGCGCGTGTGAATTAAATAAAGCTGCGCGTGTATGTATTATTTGCGCGTGTGGACTTTTGGCGTAAATCTGGCGCCATACTGTGTCCTCTAACCTCTACAGCACTGCTAAACACAGTAGCATGTTAGCAGAATTGGCTATAACTCTTCTTGCTGTAACTGCATACACAGCAAAACAGCCCAAACGACACAACAGTGAGGAAGAGAAGACGGAACTAGAGCAAAAAAATGATCAAAGAAGAAATCAAACCCGGGTGAACATAGCTAGCTTACATCGTATCTTCCGGAGAGACTTGCGGGAGCGGGACTGCCTCGGACTATCTATGCTCGGGCCACATTCGGACGCAGAACTAGCGGTAATCTTTCAGTTATATATTTTGATAGCAGTGCAACTGGGTATAGCTCCTTTAAATTGTCAAAACTATAAGGCATCAGCTTCACAGCCCATTGTTTGTGCTCCAAAGAGTTCTCAAACGGATTGAATTGGATTTTTTGCAGGGGTTTGACACAATTATGAATGGTTTTACTTTATCACAATGTTTTACAGTTATCATTCTTTTATTTAAATCCAACTGCTTCTTTTGCTTAAAAATAATGTTTTCTATGCACATTTCCATAGAGATATGTAAGCTTTACAAATGTTTAAATAAACCACAGACAATGAGACAAATTATACACATACAAACGTCAAAAACATATCACACGTTTCCTAAAATATGTGAGTTATAAATAGATGAAACAGCGTGTTCTCAAAGTATTACTATTGACATTACAAATATAAATAGTAGTTTTAACATCATCCTTTTGATTTTCAGACCTGACATATCCCGGCGTTTTCACACTTCTGTCATTGTTAATTGCACTTTCAACAATAAAAGGCATCGCACTAAAATATAGTGACAAATACGATTCAGAACGGATTACAGATAATGGAGATGTTTCAAGAGAGATGCTAAATGTGACCTTTATTTACTCTCAGCTAATAAATGCTTTCATTCACATTAAATCTATGGCCAGGCTTAAAGGCACTGGAGGCCCGACTGCAGCATATGGCTGGCTCCCTGCACAGTTTTACAGTACATAAATAAAGTCTATGAGACACCCTACAGTAGTGTGACTAATTATCTGCTGGAACACTGTATTAGTTGCATGATTACCAAGCTCCTCTATAGCTAATTACATAGGCTGCTCTTGGCTGACCTCTGCCAGCATGATGCATTGGCTCCACTCCTCCGTCTACTCCTTTGTCCCTACGCTCATCCCCGGATTTTTTAAATATCTAAAAAGTTCACTTCCACTCTCTTTGGGGAGAGTGACCTTTTTATACCTTATCTTAACTACCCATAAAATACGGCCATAAAACATACTATAAGAGGACATTTTAGCCTTGATGTCAAAATCAGCATAACCCGCTGCTCTGGGTAATCAAATGTAGTGTGTTTCGTGGGGGGCAGTGGCGACCTTCTGTCCCATAACTGTATTTTAGCTATTGCATCACACGTGGCACACATGTTCGCTTGTCATTTCTCTGCATGGCTCTACACTAAACAAAGAAAGAAACTAGAAGAGATTATTAGATTATGTTTTCAAAGTAAAGATGAATTTGTATTCCTATTTTTAACCCTTTAGGTCACATGATCTTATATGATTCAGATTCAGATTCATTTATTTGCCATTTGCAGTAAAACCACATAGGAAAAACTGTGCAAGACTACCCCGGTGTATGATCTGGCATCTCATATGTTTTTCTTCTCTTTTCTTGTTATTCATGTTAGTAATCTTTTATCTGGTATAAAACAGCTCCACTTTTGGTTTTTGCATAAAATTTCAGATTTTTATTTATTTATGATTTATTCCGACACACATTATAGTGAAAGATTATGTTTGTACTTTTTGTGAATAAATTTAAATGTGTTTGTTTAAGACAAACAAAAACAATTATAAGATGATTATTGGTTTAAGCAATATGTCAATGTTTTGTTACCAATTCAAGAAAACACTATTTCTTTATACATGCCAAAGAGTGTTTCCAGTGTGATAAATGCTTTGCTTCTGTGACTGTTTGTCAGATAATTAAGTATTAATTGGATTTTGATTAAGTTGATTTAAAAATATAATTGTTCCAAAAAAGCAATTATTAAATGGATTTTGGTGTGGATTCTTTTATCCTAAAACAAAGAAAATAAATTAAACATAATATTTCAGGGCTTTTTGTTCCGTACTGACCACAGTATAATTTCCCTGTAATATTGTTCACAGAGAAGCTCATCTATGGTAAGTGCATGATCAGATATTGGCAGACTTCCATGAAGACAGTACGGCATTCTGGGAGTATGTGATCTGGGAGATTTCAGTAAAGTTTTAAAAGTGCAGCATCATCAATCAGTCCCTGGATGAAGGTCTCGTCCTGTCAAGTTTTAAACATGCTGTGGTCCAGCCACTTTTAAGCCTAATTCAAGCACTATGGATTAACTTTCGAACATTTTTTACAACCCTTTTCAAAAATCTCTTATCTATTCAAAGTTTAAGAGAAAATTGTTTCTATTCAGATTTTAGATTGCATTACTGAGAACTTACACAGTGCAGAGACAATCCTCCTAGGAGTTTCAAATGACCTTTACGCCACAGAGGAGAGTGCTCCATTTTAATTCTTTTAACTTAAGTGCAGCCTTTGACACAATTGACAACAATATTTAATCGGAAAGCCTCAAAAAGTGGGTTTCTTTCTGAGAAAATTGTAGTGGTTTAATTCGAATAACTCTTACAAAAGCCGAGAATAAAGCTTAGGGAGTGCATTATTAATTAAGTTTTAGCATGAGAAAGACCGTCAGTCGATAGTCAGAAGTTTTCACATATATATTTAACGTGGTCAGTCCTGATCATACGGGGCATTTGGGAGGTCCAGTAACGGTCTCGTCTTCTCTGTTTGTTCTATTGGCCATTGTCTTCTATTGGCCATTTCTCGATTGCTCTTCTATGTCTCTCGGCCAACACCAGGAAAATCCTCGTTCGCCCCTTCCAAGGACTTGTCTCCTTGGCAGCCATGGACATTCTCCTTGATGGTCTTTTCCCCGTTGCTGTCCGACCTAAGGCCTTCATACAGTGATTCAGGTGGTACCACATGGACGATCCATTCACCTGCACCACCGTTGATGTCGCGTTCACGATCTCGTAAGGACCTTCCCTCCGTGGTGTATGCCACTTCCGTCGGAGGGTTTTTCACATAGACCAGGTCCCCCGGCTTCACTGCAGGTGGCACCTCCTCCTCCTTCGTCTGGCTCTGCACAGAGTTAATACGAGCAAAACCACTCCTGTGGACGTTAGTCAATTGTTTCACAGATGATTTCATACAATCTGTTAACACATCAATCAAAGGGCCCTTAGCAGCTTTGTACACCGGTGATGGCACATACCGGCCAGTAAGCGCTTCATGCGGTATTAGTTTTAAGCTTCTGTTGGCGCTTCCCTGATAGGGCATCAGGGCAAGCGGCAGTGCATCTGTCCAATTCAAACCGGTGTTCATGCAAATTTTTAGTAGTTTGTTTAAAGTATACCATTCACTCTTTCAACCACTCATTGACTCCGAGGACATATCCTAGCCTTTGTTTGAACTTCTGCAACACACATTTTAAGTTTCTTGTCTCCATAAACAAATTTGTATTTTTCCGGAGTCAGACACACAGTTATGAGGCTTTCCCTCGAACTGGACTGGGATTGAGTCAGCAGATTTTTCACTTTACACACGCGAATGGTCATATCAGGATAATCTACAAGTAAACAATACTCGTTCAATCTTTGTGCCGTTAACACAAACTTCCCTTTCTCAAGTAGATTCCCCAATTTTTGATGTGTCATAATTTCTTTGACTGTTTTTGGCCTGGGAGCTTGTGATATAGCTTCAAGGTGGGTTGTTGAGACTGATCGGGACCCCTCCCTTATCAGTCTCCATAAATACTCAACTTGGTCTTGACAATATTGCAATTTCCCCAAGGACGCCTTATGTCCTTTGTCTGTGAGCATGGTCAGCAGAGTCATAGAGTCTTTATGGCACGTTTCCAGATCAGGTGCACACAAAATAATATCATCAACATAGCTAATTATGGTGCTGGACACTCTGCCTGATAGATCATCCAAATCGTCTCTCAAGATTTTATTGAGAATATGGGGACTTAGTTTCAGGCCTTGCGGTACACGACGTTAAGTGTAGGATTGATTTCTGTATGTGAAAGCAAATAGACGCTGGCTTGAGGGAGGATGACATCTTCCGTCGAACAGCCCTGAGGAAGCGAATAGTCGAAAGGCTTCCAGAGATGGCTCAAAGCAGACCGAATGAAGCAGTCGTTCTGTATAACATGACAATTGAACAGTCCACTAGCATGTTGTTGATTCCATTTGTACTCAGAAACTGGGTTCAAACATTCAACAACAAAATATTAAGAGATCCTTTACTTCATCCCACAGAGGGGAAATTCAGTGTTGCAGAACTTGCAGAAGTTACAATAGGATTGAGGAGCACACAACACAACATAAGTGAATACTAAGTATAGCACAACACTTCACTTTCAGATTCAAATCTCTACATTTAGCTTGATAGATATTATTATATTTTAGACCAAACCTTTGCGGTCACAATTGGTAATTTTACATCCTCAATATCCCCCATTACCTGTGGTGTGCTGAAAGGTTGTTGGGTCCCATCATATTTTCTATCTGCAGTGTACATGTACTGCAGAGGTCTGGCTGCTGTGGTCGACTGTTTTAACGACGTGAACATACGGGAGTTGAATGGTCCAAAACTCCCAACAGCTCAACACCACCAAATCTGAAGTCCTCCTCATCAACTCACCTGCATATTTGACTGATTATCATTTTGATTGCATTCTACAGCATCATAAAATTATCAGATTAGTAAAACCTATTTGCAGCATGATAAGTAAGGGATAAAGATACAAAAAGTATAATGACCTGCGTAATATACATTATCCCGTTTATTATACGGCTTTGGACCAACAGAACACACAAAATAAAATGAATTCCACTCGTAGGAATGCCGACAGGTTTATTTAATGACAGAAAATAAAATTGTTCCCAAAGGCTTTCCCGTGGCTATGCGAGTAACAGTTAGGCTAGCAACAGCTAGGCTAGTAAGTTAGGCTAGAAACTTCCAAACTAGAACCCTCTCGAACTGCATGAAACAGAGAATTCTGAACATCAGCAGCGAGTGACCCATAAACTTAACCTAAATCCATATTTCGATCCTCCGCAAATGTGTCCTAAAATGTCCCGGGTTTTTTGCAATCGCTTTTTCTCGCATTAAAAAACTATTTTTGTCATGAAAACCTTAACAACTTCCAGAGTTTGGCGCACCACGATCCGTCTCTGTCTGCTTCATTCCTGACACTAAGCAGGGTAGGGCCTGGTTAGCACTGTGATGGGAGACCTCAAGGAACACCAGGTGCCACCGTGGGGCAGCTGTAAAATGCCAGTTTGTCCTTAGGCAAGACAGTTCACCCCCATTGCCTAGACTCAATCTGGTGTTTGTGTAGATCATTGGTGGTGGTCAGAGGGGCTGATGGCACATACTGGTTGACTCACTGCTGTCAGTGTGCCCCAGGGCAGCTCTGGCTACAGAAGTAATTTATCAGTAGTAGTAGTTGTGTGTGGAGAGAATGTATAATGTCATGTGAAGTGTGTCCAATAAAACTGATGCATTTTTTTTTTCCTCAGGGAGCTAGTATACTGCTCCCTGCAAGTCATGAGATTCTGACAACATGAAATATGGGTATAATATTTGTGCAACGGTCACTATAAAATAACTTCTATAGACAACAAGGCAACATGACATTTCAGCTACATGATACAAGACAGGCGACCAAACATAAATGTTTAAAAAGAGGAAAAGCTACACCCAAGCATCCAGTGTGGTGTCAGCTGGGATCATGTAGACAAGATGCTTCAGACTAAATGACTTGAACATGGAACACAATTAGCATTCTGTGTATGGAAGTGGTCATGGCCGACGAGCTTTAAGGCAAAACGTTTGGAAGGAATGGCAAATCCCTTCAGGTGTGCATAAAGCCACCTGGGAGTGTAGCCTGGAGGAGTACGGATAAAACATAGAGTGATTGACATTCACTTGAAGCCACGACTCACCGCGTGGCATCCAATTTTAACACCTGAAACAGTGAAGAAGAAGAAAAAAGATACATTGAAACATTGTAGCAGGCGAACAGGATGAAAGTGGGCAACGGGGAGTAGAGCTGAAATGACGAAGACTTACTTACCGCTTCCAATGGGATCAAGGCTCTGAAACAAAATAGAAAAGAAGCGAGACAGTGTAAAATGTGAAACAATGCTTGCAAGATCTAAGAGTAATACAGAACCATTCAGATAGAAAGTCAGGAACAAAATGAGAGAAAGGGAAAAGAGAAAATACAGAGCTGAGCACAGTCACGTACTGCAATTATCTGGGTGCTAATGATGCTAATGTGGTGCCTTGGTGCAGGCTATTGTTTTTTTACAAGCGTCAAAGCTGCTTTAATGTGTCAATTACTGTTTTATCAGAGTAAAAAGAAGACATTTAACTTTTCATGTGAACAAAATGTCAACTATTGAACTGCTAAAGTACAGACACAAGGCAGAAACCGTTTCACAATCCACAGTCAAATACTGTATCAGCCCAAACATTTTTATTATTTTAAATTTGCGAAATGTTTGTATTAAGTAAGTAAGTAATCTTTATTTATATACCGCCTTTCACAGACCAGAGTCACAAAGCGGTTTATGGCTTGAAGCTCAAATAAAAAATCCGAACTGATGGATCACCAAGTGAAACATAATGTTGTGGTTTCAGCATCAAATGTAGATATATTTAGATTTTTTGTGTTCTAAACATTTACTTGATACATCAAAAAATGAATTGCTTCATTAGTTGAGTTTCAAGGGGTCAGTTAAGAGTTCACAAATTATGGTGATTCGGCTTCTCATTCTTTGTTACAGCAACAAGTGCGGGTGATTTAGTCCATGAGAGGAAAAAGATGCTGTTTGGCCATTACATTAAAGATGCAAAGGTCAGTAATAAAACGATAGAAGCGTGATGCAGAAAAAACAGTTGGACTTGCACATTCCTCTCCTCTGGGGGCCGCGACTCCCCTGAAATAGAAATTGTGAACTCTCAGCAGGACAACCTTAGTTTAAGAACCAGAAATGGTGGAATCTTGCGATATATAAACACTTGCACAATTTTAGGAGAAGCAGTCATGTTAAATTTGCAGCTTGGCCGTTTTAACAAACCATAAAGAAATTGCAAAGAGACAGTGAGATCATTTTTGTGTTGTGTTGTATTGTCCTGTTTTGAAAAGACCATTTCAGTTCTTTCTGGGAACAACAGCTGTGTTTTATTGTGGGTACACCAGTTTTCAGAATTCAGTCTGCATACATATCATGTTTTTTTTTACAATTCTGAGAACAAATTATTTTGCCTTCCCAGTGACACACTCAGTGGTTTTGGAGATCACTGTTGGCTGCCAGTGATCTATCATTAGTGTTGCATGTTTGCTATCAACACATTTTTGGAAACGTTATCTGATTAATTGGTACAAACCACTAAGTTCAGTGCATCCAATAAATCAAGAACAGTCCAACTTTGCGACATTCAATATGACGTTCAACATTCAGAATAGATAAAAAAATCATCTCTGTGATGCGTAAATAAGTGCACTCTGTCCACTGGGTGTTCCACTGTCTCCTACATTCTACCTGATTGATAAATTGCCTATGTGCTGCACTTCACAAGTTTCCGGACTTTTGACTGCAGTTATTATGTAGACAAACAACACCGTGGACTACAGTGGACAGGCAATATCACTAATGGTAGCCTCAGGTAAGCCATGAATGTTTTAGCTTAACTCCTGCCCTATACACTTCCACATATGGCCGATACAAACATACATTTTTCATACAAGCATTTCTCCAGTTCCCTCTCCTGTAGTTATCTATATATATCCTTTATTTATGAGGTGAAAGTTTGAGAAGTAACCCGTAAAGTTATCTGGGTATTGGCTATAAAGGGGTCAAGGATCAACTTGGGTTCAATGACTTCCAGTTTGTCATTCTTCTTAAGGCTTTTAGCCACATTCTAATTAGCCAAACAGCGGCATTGAAGGATTCTTGTTTTTCCCTCGAGCAAAACGTGTGAGTATTTTACAGCTCAAACACGTCTGCTTTTATCACAGCCCCACTCCTCCCGTTGTGACCCTTGTTGCGGATGCTTTTTCTCTAATTAAAAAAAGATGCGAAGCTGCCAAGCAACTGTGGTGGAGTCTACAGTCCAATGCGGTGTCTTTCTTG